ATCTATTATCGCTTGTAAGTAATAATAATCGTATAAATAATCTCGAGGAGCAGATTGTGAACATAGATAAAAAAATCAATTTTTATAAAACAGCTACAATTGTCACATAATTTTAATTTCAAGTCTAAAGAAGTTTTACTTCAAAAAAAATAAGTGGTATACTTTATTGCTTGTAGGGTGTCATTTGAAAGGTCTCGAGAAGTAGAATATGAATCCATAAGAAAATTGAAAATTTTTATAAAACTGAAACAATTGCCACATAATTTTAAGTTCAAGTGTAAAAAAGTTTTACTTCAAAAATATATGTTGTATCCTCTATTGCTTGTGAGGTACCGTTTGAAAGCTCTCGACATGTAGAAGTATCCATAACACAGTGAATCTACACAAAAAAATTATTTTTTTATAAAACTGTAACGATTGTCACATAATTTTAATTTCAAGTCTAAAGAAGTTTTACTTCAGAAATATATGATGTATCTTTTTTTATTGCTTGTGGGGTATCATTTGAAAGGTCTCGATAATAAGAATGTGAATCTTCAGAAATATTTTAATTTCCTATAAAATTATAACAGTTTTCACCCGTTTTTATGATTAAAGCTATAGAAGTTTTGCTTCAAAATTTTTAAGTTGTTTTTTTATTGCTTGTGGGGTATCGTTTGAAAGATTTCGAGAAGTAAAATATAAATCCACAAGAAAATATTAACGTTTTATAAAACTGAAACAATTGTTACATAATTCTAACTTCAAGTCTAAAAAAGTTTTACTTCAAAAATATAGGTGGTATCCTTTATAGCTTGTGGGGTGTCGTTTGAAAGGTCTCCAAAAGTAAAATGTGGTTTTTAATATAAACTTTGATTTCTTGTAAAATTATAACACTTCACTCGTTTTTATGATTGAGACTATAAAAGTTTTACTTCAAAAATTTTAAGTTGTTTCTTTTTTTGCTTGTAGGGTATCGTTTAACAGGTCTCGAAAAGTAGAATGTGAACCTTGAGAAAAAATTTAAATTTTTATAAAACTGAAGCAATTGTCACATAATTTTAATTACAATACTATGAAGTTTTACTTCAGAAATATAAGTTGTACACTTTATTGCTTGTGGATCTCGAAAAGTAAAACGAAAATCTCCAGTAAAATTTTGTATTTCTATGAAATTTTGACTCAAAACAATTTTCACCCGTTTTTATGATTGAGGCTATAGAAGTTTTATTTCAAAATTCAAGTTGTTTTTTTTTTTGCTTCTGGGGTATCGTTTGAAAGGTCTCGAATAGCAGAATGTGATTCTGCACAAAAATTTTAAGTTTTTATAAAACTGAAGCAATTGGCACATAATTTTAATCTCAAGTGTAAATAAGTTTTACTTAAAAAAGTTTTAAAGAATTTTGACTTTATTGCTTGTATGGTGTCATTTTAAAAGGTCTCAATAAGTAGATTGTAATTCTACATGAAAATTGTATTTTTTCTTAAAACTGAAACGATTGTCACATAATTTTAATTTCAAGTGTAAAGAAGTTTTACTTCAAAAAAATATAAGTTTAGATCTTTAGAAGTAGAATATAAATCCACAAAAAAATTGATAATTTTTATAAAACTGAAACAATTGCCACATAATTTTAATTTCAAGTGTAAAAAAGTTTTACTTCAAAAATATATGTTGTATCCTTGTGGGGTGTCGTTTGAAAGGTCTCGAGAATAAAAATGTGAATCTTCAGAAATATTTTAATTTCCTATAAAATTATAACAGTTTTCACACATTTTTCGGCCCAATCTATTGAAGTTTCACTTCAAAACTTTTAAGTTGTTTTTTTTGCTTATAGGGTATTGTTGGGGTAATGTTTGATAGATCCTGAGGAGTAGAATTTGGTTCCACAAAAAATTTAAAGGTATTATTAAACTGAAACGATTGTCACATAATTTTAACTTCAAGTCTAAAGAAGTTTTACTTCAAAAATATAAGTTAAATCATTTATTGCTTGTGGGGTATTGTTTGGAAGGTGTCGAGAAATAGAACATGAATCTGCACGAAAAAATTAAATTTTTATATAACTGTAACAATTGTCGCATAATTTTAATTTCAAGTCTAAAGAAGTTTTACTTCAAACATATAAGTGGCATCCGTTATTGCTTAAGGGGTATCATTTGAAAGGTCTCGAAAAGTAGAATGTGATTCTCCACAAAAACTTTCATTTCCTAAAAAATTAAAACAATTTTCACACGTTTTTATGATTGAGGCTGTAGAAGTTTTACTTCAAAAATTTTAAGTTGTTTCTTTTATTACTTGTGGGGTATCGTTTGAAAGATCTCGGAAAGTAGATTGTGATTCTACACAACAATTTTAAATGTTTACAAAACTGAAACATTTGCCACATAATTTTAATTTCAAGTATATAGAAGTTTTACTTCAAAAATATCTGTTGTATCCTTTATTGCTTGTCGGGTATCATTTGAAAGGTCTCATAGATTAGAATGTGAATCTACAGAAATATTTTAATTTCTTATAAAATTGTAACAATAATCACAAAAATTAAATTTCAAGTCTAAGACAGTTTTACTTCAAAAATATAAGTAGTATCCTTTATTGCTTGTGGGATATCGTTTGAAAGCTCTCATGAAGTAGAATTTGGATCCATTAGAAAATTTAAAATTTTTATGAAACTGTAACAATTGCCACATAATTTTAAATGTACAAATCTAAGGAAGTTTTACTTCAAAAATATGCGTTGTATTCTTTATTGCTTGTGCGGTATCATTTGAAAGGTCTCGAGGAGTAGAATGTGAATCTACATTTATAATCTACACAAACATTTTAAATTTATATAAAACTGAAACAATTGTCACATGATTTTAATTTTACTTCTAAAGAAGTTTTACTTCAAAAATATAAGTGGTATCCTTTATATTGCTTGTGAGGTATCGTTTGAAAGGTCTCGAGGAGTAGAATGCAAATCTTCAAGAAAATTTTAATTTACTATGAAATTATAGCAGTTGACACAGATTTTTATTGGTGCAACAAAGCTTTCCTTACTTTTTAACAAATTAACAAACGTTTCGTTTACAAGTATCATGTCTAATGAAGGATAAAAATCAACCACTAGTAGCAAAAATCTATTTTAAACACTATCTGTCAAAACAATAACATGAACCTCAAATTTCTCCGAATTCCACCATCAATTACACTAAAAAAAGATTTTAGAAGTCTTTCATTACCATCATCAGTGTCAGCATCAACTACATTACATTTCAAAAATATTTTGTCCAGGTCCGCAGTATCAAAACAAAGAAAAGAGAGCCTCGATAAAAAGTCCTCGCCATCTCACTCTAACAGAAACACCAACACAACAACAACAAGTACCAACAGATCAAACCAAAACTCACCAAGAAAAGACAGCAGATCATCCACAGATCACACGTCAAAACAAGGAACTACAAAAGGAATACTTTGTCAACCAAGGTAAATAAGGGTCAAAATAGGAAAAAAGAAAGCAGGCCAAAACAAGAATTAATTATGGTTTTATTGTTTTCTCAGGAGGTGCAGTGAAGGTGCCAAAAGCAGTTCCTTAGAATCCAATGCTGATACGAAACGACGTTATTCTGAAAACGTCGAAAATAATCAGAATAATAAAAAAGTAGACTTCACAACACCAGCTGATAAGAGGAAGTTATTTTCGCGGTCCAATAATTTTAGATATTACTCCACCAGCGATTTAGTTGACACAGAACGCAGGTAAGAAATCCTTACTAGAAACCAGTAAAAAAATCCTGACATTTGACCCTGATCTTGATCTTATTCCAGGTGCTCCGCCTCCTGTTGCAACCGCAAATCAAGTGACCCTTGCGTCAGAACTGAATGTGAACGAAGAAGATCATCCCAAGATCGAACTTCCAAGAACAACCACCGCCAAAACAGTGATCAGAGCGACCACCAAAAATCTGATAGTGATCGCGATCGTCCATCAAAATTCAGGAAGAATAGCGATCACAAAAATAACGAGAAGGAACTAAATTACATCAACCGCAGAAAGAGCGACCAGGGAATCCCAAACGATCACAGAAGATCCAGTGATCCTAGATATTATAAAAGACAATTTAGTGATCCCAGCAACCAGGAGTTTGCAAGACGAAAAAGTGATCAAGCAAGATGGCACAGTGATCAAGTTATATGTGAGATTTTAGAAAATCAGTTATACGAACAGAATAGATGCAAGGATAAATCTTATGATCGGATTAAAACTTGTGATCATTGTGAAAGAAAACCAAGAAGCCAAGAGTTCTACGACCAAGTTGAACCAAGTGATTCAGAGAGAAGCAAGTGGCGCAGTGAGCAAGTAATCCACCAGCAGGATAGAGATCATAGACGATCTAGTGATCCTAGAGGATACATTCGTCAACAAGATCATAGTTACTATTTCGAGGAAGAGAGTGATGATGTTTATTTAGATGACAATCAAGACTTCTCTGGTGATTATTTAAGTTTCCAACAAAACCTTTGTGACTATTACCCCGATTACCAACAGTCATTGGTAAAAGTTGATAATTGGATCACAAGCGATCAGCCAAGTAGACCTTTACGTAGTACAATTATCAGAGGACAGCATTTACCACGCGGAGATTCTAGTGATTTCGATGATAGATGGTTAGGACGTGACGATTCACTAGATTTAGTAGAAAGACGTGCCTCATCCTCCTACCTTGATCCTGATACTGTAGATCCTTATGCCCCCAGCATCAACGATTACTGTGACTCAAAATTTTATGGCACTGCCACATCGCATGATCGAATTCACGATTATTATACCCAGAGTTTGCCGACTGACTATTTAGGAACGGACGAGTTCTGTTACCCGAGCCGACACGGGCAGTTTCCTGATAAATATCTGGTGCGTGGTTCCAGTTTAGATGCATATGTACCAGTTGAAAGGGATTTTAGAAAAAGTGGACCGAGACATTATCAGAGTGGACGTTCTAGACGATATCGGAGTGGGAGTGGAAGTGGTCGCGTGATGGTTACGATGTCCGGACCGGAAGATCCGGACCGCAAAGTGGTCTTGGAGTTTTGTCACCTGCTGGAGAAGTCTAAGCAACTGTTTAATGGACTCAGGTAAGAATTTATACCTACCAATCTGCTTTGTCATATTAATTTTCCAGTAAAATCTACTTAAAAATACTAAATCCAATATCTATAAAATAGTTTTCTTTCTTAATCAAAGCTGTCACCTACTATAGTTAACTTAACCTCACTTCTAATTTGTCACTTAATCGGCTGCAGAGATCTTCCTCAGTATGGTCACAGACAATGGCAGGCCTACTTCGGACGAACATTCGATGTCTACACAAGATTATGGAAATTTCAACAGCAACATCGACCGATTCTGGATCGGAAGTACGGACTCAAGAGGTGGCAAATTGGAGAGATAGCCAGCAAGATTGGACAACTATATTATCACTACTAGTGAGTGAAGATTGACAACTATTTGATTGAACAATTTGACCACTTTTATGATAAAAATTATTTCGTTCTTGGCTTTAACGATTTTTTTCATCTGCAGTTTAAGAACTAGTGAAACAAGTTACCTAAACGAAGCCTATTCGTTCTATGCAGCAATAAGGGGGCGCGCCTATTATTCAAGGGCTCTCAAAGAAGATAGGTGAGTCTTTACAAAAACCACTATAATGCCAATAGCAATTGAATGGTTTTTGACATTGGTTTTTTTACAGGTCTGATTTAATGGTGAAGAAATTAAGATATTATGCAAGATTCATCATGGTCTGTCTGTTGCTAAAGAAAATGAAACTGGCGAGGGAACTCGTTCAGGAATTAGACAGACATATAGGTAAGTGATAAAACAAAATTTCTTCTAGACTGTCGTCCTTGTATCTTTCACCAAATTGCACACTTGCTAATTTCAATTTTAGCAAAGCATCATAGAACCTTTCTATTTCCATCAGTTACACCGGAGTTTTTCATCTAAGTCAACACAATCACCAGAAATACTCTTAAATCAATCAAATCTACCTCAATTCAAATTTCCCTAAGAAACATTAAGATTCCATTAAACTGAAGATTTCTCCATAGGCAAATAATAATAACAAATGGCACTATTTTATTACTGAAGTATGATGTATTTTACTAGGTGACTACAGTGCAGCCTACGCAGCTGAAGATAGGCACGAGTGGATGTTAGTACTGGACGAAGCAAAATGTTTCCTGAAGGCCGAAGGCTTACTTCAGGTTGTTCATCCTGATACGGGGCCCGTGATCCTATCCCACAGGTAAATAGTAACCTATACACTGAGAGTTCCATACAAAAACTTGAAAGGTTTTAGTATTTTAGCAGAACCAACTTAAGGTATTGATTACCATTGTATCAAAAACTAGCAATTTTTTTATTTAACCAAAAAAAATTGAGTAAGCATACTATCTCTGCAAGGTTCTGTACAAATCAAATGAGTCTATCACAATTTATATTTTGTTTTCAGATTGGGTCCCTTAACGGCGCCTCCGCCTTTACCACATACAGAGCGCCCTTTAATGAACCTGACGTTACAAGAGGCGCTTCTAGTCGGAAATAGATGTGACCAGGTAACACTACTACAATTTAATAAAATATATAGTAAATTTAAATACTCAATAATTATCTTTTTGCTTTTAGGTTAAATTTTCTGAAATAACTGCCGACATGTACAGAATGCTGCAAACCTTAGAGCGCGAGCCTGGAGGTTCCTTGGTATCTGTACAACACCACCACCACCAGGACTTGATTGGAGGTCCTGGTTACGACCAAGGTAGTCCTGCAGGAACCAGGGCTTTACCAGGTTCTAACAGCATGTCTTATGGACCTAAAGGTAACCAAAGAAACTGATTGCCAAAACAACAATACAACTATTTATGCTGGATTCCAGGTTATGCAGAAAATGGTCACCATTATTCCTCGCGTTCCCGGAGGCACCATCATTCAGGAGGTCCCCCGTCGTACCGTTCGACGTCCCTCATAGGCGAAAACCCACATAAGTACTTACTCTACGCTCCGACTTTGGCACAACTACTTCTATTCTTAGCAGCAGGCAGCAGAGAATTGCCCCAAGGGGGCGCGCTTTTGCTATACCTCTCCGCAGACGCCTGCTTTGGAGCATCTAGTGGAACCAATGGAAGAAAGGTTCAGTCCAACACGGACGAGAGTAAGTAGAAGTAGAAATAAAAAACTACAACCAGAAACTCTTGTGTCTATTTTCTGCAGTTGGTTATGAATCTGGTGGCGTGGTGACTTCTACAAAACGTGATACGTCCCCGCCGTCGCACCATCATCGAGCGCCCCCACACTGCCATACCGATGACGCCATGGGGCACGGTAAAGACCCGCACTGCCTTTATCCAGGGGACCTCTACCCTTTCACGAGGAGACCCATGTTCCTGGTCGTCGATTCGGACAATTCGTTCGCGTTTCAGAACATACCGAGGTAAGTGATAATGGCTAAGTTTCGGAAAATTTGTTTGTAGACAATCTCAAGAAAAAAGTGTAAAAGAAAAGTTTGGAAATGTAATATGGAAAACTTTATTAATTTTACGGTGATTCGGAGAGTGAATTTAATTTTCTATTAGAAATGTAGGACCATCGTGGTATATTCATTTATAAATTAAATAGTGCACAAAGTGACTAATGTTATAATTTTAATGGAATTTTTGTCAAAAATTTATAAAATTATTGAAAAAATATAATAAATTATTTTCAATATTAAATTATTAATTAATAAAATATTTATACATAAAACACAATAAACGTGAAATAAATACGACACCTAATTAATATCAAACATAATATAATTATTGAAATATAAAGCTGAAAATTATCGATATTTTTTCGTCACGCCATTTTGAAAAACTGTCAAGTGACAACTATAACAATTTAATTAACTATAATAATAATTAATAAAATAAATTATTATAATATACATTTATATGCATGCTATATTTATTAATTAATCTATATACTATGAGTTAAATTAATTAAATTAAAATTAAATAATTTTTTGCGATCGATATTTATCTTTGACGCCATTTTTAAAACTGTCAAGTGACAACTATATCAATTTAATTATATTAAGAAGAAAGTGTTCAAATTATAATTTAATAATGTTATATTAGCAATATCTACTATAATGAATATATTATAATAAGTAAATTAATTGATTTAAAATAAAATGAACTATTACAATCGATATATATGCTTGACGCCATTTTGCCAACTGTCAAGTGTCAACTATAACAATTTAATTGACTATAATAATAATAAGTGATGCAAATTATTATAATATACATTTTAATGCAAATTATATTTATAATAATTATATTAATTTCATGAATAATTTGCGTCTAGTAATTATTAAGCAGAAAAATATCGATATTTTTACGTGACGCCATATTGAAAACTGTGACAACGGTAACAATTTAATTAACAATAATAATAATTAATAATGTTAATTATTAATAAAATACATTTATATACGTGCTATATTTATTAATTAATCTATATACTATGAATTAAATTAATTAAATTAAATTTAAATAATTTTTTCCAATCGATATTTATCTTGGACGCCATTTTGAAGAACTGTCAAAGTGCTGAAAAAATGCAGTGCTCAGCAAAACCTTATAAAAGTGATGAAATTCTGTTTATTTACGAATATAAACATATATTGAGCTATTATAAACATATAATAGAAGTTCTATGACGAATATTTACGCAGTTTTATGTACTGACAAAGTTTTGATAAGTTAAAATGAGTGCTGAAAGCATACCAAAACATGCCAAAGTAAAAGGGACTACTATTCAAGATAATGAAAAACATAATCAAGATAAAAGTCTTCACAAATGTGGAGTTTGTGACAAAAGCTTTGCTAAAGCCTCAACTTTCTTCAAACATTTAGAAAACCACACAAAAAAAGATGCAGAGTCTTTGGAAGAACATGCCCAATGCTATTTTGTATGTGACATTTGTGAAAAACAATACACGGATGTAACTGAACTCCTTACACATGTCCGTGGACACAACAGGGACAAAGAAAATGAAAACATACTTGTCAACGACAAGAAAAAGCCTAGCATCCCCGTTATATCAAAAACAAACTCCACGACCTCCTACTCATGTACAAGTTGTCTCAACGTCTACCCGACTCTCAATTCTTACAAAAACCACACCTATAAATGCTGGGAGAGATCACAATTATGGAAATGCCACATATGCAACATGTTCGTAAGCTCGAGACACTCTTTGAAAAAGCATTTAAGGATTCACACAGGCGAAAAGCCCTATCGTTGTGATATCTGTAATAAAGCTTTTGCACAACAAGCCATTTTGTCAAAGCATCGAAGAGTGCACACGAAAGAGAAGCCTTTTGATTGCAAAGTTTGCAAAAAGGCTTTTAGTCAGTCGGGGAGCTTAACTAGACATATGAGGATTCATAATAGAGATAAACCACATGAGTGCGAAAAGTGTGGGAAGGCTTTTACGAGGTCTGATGCTATGGTGTCACATATGAAGAATAACCATTGATTAATATATAATTTTATTGTAAAATGTATGACTTATGAAAATAAAATATATAAAATACCTGATATGTACATATTTATAAAAATAAAACTTGACATGGTCAATAAGAATGCAATGTATTAATTTATGAGTACTTTATAAGTATATTGGGTTGATGTCGGGGGGCTTCACAGTAGATTATTCAATTTTGTGTAATTTTTTTTTTAATTCTATATTTAATTTCAGTATTCGTATTCTACTTCTCAAGACCTTTTAAATGATACCCCACATGCCATATAAAACAAAAAATTAGTTTTTTGAAGTAAAACTTCTTTACACTCGATTACTATAAAACGCCATAAGAAGGATATTTTTGACAAATTTCTTATCAAATCATATTTTACTCATCAAGATCTTTCAAATGATACTCCACATGCCATATAAAATAAAAATTTAGTTTCTTGAAGTAAAACTTTTTTGGGTTCGATTACTATAAATGCCATAAGAGAGTATATTTTTGACAAATCAGTTAGTTAATTTGCTTAAGTATTTGTAGTTTTCCTATTTGATGGCAAAATTTAAAGTATAATTCGAAATATATTGTCAATTTTTTTAATTTTCTTCTTAATAAAATTTAAAGATTTAAAATTTTTTGCAAGGGGAGAATGTTTATCGCAATTTTATTATAAAATCATATTCTACTCTTCGAGACCTTTCGAATGACACCTCTTATGCCATATAAAACACCATCTAAATTTTTTGAAGTAAAACTTTTTTAGATTCATATACTATTAATGTAATAAAAGTGAATATTTTCGAACAAATATCTTTGATTTGATTTTGCTCTTTCAATGTCTAGTACAAAGGTTTTACATATCACACAATTTAATTAGTTTTGCAATAAATTTAACAATTTTTTCCATAAAATTATTTTAATATTGCTCAAATTTTGATTTATATATTTTTTTCTATGGAAATCGTATTATACTCTTTGAGACCTTTCAAATGATACCCCACATGCAATAAAAGCTACAACTTAAAACATTTGAAGTAAAACTTCATTACACTTAGATTTTAAATGACCTCCCTTACATCACTTTTTATATAATATAATCTATATATTAAGTCTATTATTTGCACGTTTCAGGTAGTTCACACATCTTTCTTTAAATGAAAATGGCACCTAAAATTAGTTAATTAAAAATTTGAGTCTAATGAAGTTTTACTTCAACATTTTTAAATTGTACTTTATACTACTTGTGGGGTGTCGTTTGAAAGGTTTCGAAGAGTAGAATTCGATTTTTATGAATAAATTATTATATAAATAAAAATGAATTTAAATATTGACATATTTTTATGACAAAAATATTAAAACCTTAAATTTTATTGCAAAAATTAAAGTGTATGATTTAATCTTTGTATGGAATTCTAAAACTAATAACAATTCATTGAAATTGTTGAGAATATACACTTTTATGCTTTTTTATGAATTTGAAGTAAACGAATCTAAAGAAGTTTTACTTCAAAAAATTTAATTTTTGTGTAATATGGCATGTGGGGCATCGTTTGAAAGGTCTTGAAGAGTAGAATATGATTTTATTAATAAAACCGCTATAAACATTTTTCTCTTTTTTTCCTTACTTTTTTTCATATCATGTTATTCAACCAGAAAACTAGAGTTACAAAGCTGAATGAGCACCAAGGATGTATTTTCATCACAAATCAACAATTTGTGTTTAAACTTTACTCACAATATTAAGGGACTTGAAATATATGAAAAGACTACACGAAAGACTTACAATTCAATAATACAAGTCTCTAAGGACTTTTAATGCTCTCATACGATAGTCAATGGACTTATTAATGACCAGTTAATTAATTTTATTAGACCAGTTAATTCATTTTATTATTTTTAATGACTGGACAAAATTGCTAAACAAACTGGACAAAATGTTGTATCCATATCATGTCATCAAAAAAGTAGAGGAGTTGTATTTACATTGACAAAGTAATGGGGCTTACCATGTATGTCTTTTTCCAAAACTATCCTCAAATTTAAGTCTGACGTTAGACCATAACTTGCTTCAATCATCATGGATGTATTTTCAACATTAAAAGACAGTTTTGGTTTCAATTATACTAATAATGATACTCGTAGTCTTACTAATTAATAATACAAGACTCTCCAGACTTTTAATCCTCTCGTTGATCCCCTCGATAAACATCAAACTGCAATACAAGAATGTATTAGTGAATATAAATTATTGGATTAAATTATTAAGCAAAAGCATTTGTTTAATCGATTGTATGTAAGGTTAAGCAATTTAATAATGAAAGAAAATAAATATAAAATAAATTATTAAGCGATGGCTTTTGCAATAAACAAATATATGTATAAAAATGTAATTTAATAATAATAGAAAAGACAAAAACATAAATTTATATAAATATAGAACGGGATAAGTATATAAGTTAAATATTAAACAAATATTTAACTGTTTTTTATTTTTGTATAAAATTAAAAATGTATTTTCAAACTAACCTCAAAATATTACTATATATTTTGTCAACAAATATAAATTAAATAAACATACTTACCACTTAATAAATTTTTCCTATTATAATATATATCAAACAACTATTATAATTTGTTTAAATTACACTTAAATTATTAAAAATTAAAAAAAACTTCCACACAAACTTTGCAGAAGAGGATTTTTGACAGTTGTGATATAAATTTTAATTTTTCAAAAATAATTAATTAATATGAGTAGATTGATAAGTGTTTGATTTATATATATTATATAATCACTAGGTTTAGTTTATAAAGTATTTAAGAATTTTATTATTAATTAAATAAATATAAAAAATCAAAGATTATTTGACAGGCGTTACTAACCTAACCTAACAGACCATTTATTTATTTACACAACTAGAAATTAAATAAACACACTTGTCACTCCATAAACATCTTAAAATTAATCTTATCACGTATTATATAGTTTAAATATATAATAAATATTTATTAATTTGTTTAAATCACTTTTATATAAAATATTCACAAACAAATTGTGCACAAAACCAAATGAGGACCAAATGTGTTCAACAAATCTAAAATGGCGGCATTACAGGCTTTATGAATTTGAATTATTGGATGTTTAATTTTAATTTTCGGCTTTTATAATTATTTAATTAAATTTATATGTGTGTTATTTAAATATAATATATGACTGTTGAGTTGATAAGTTTATAAAAATTGGCAAAGGATTTTATTCTTAATCAAATGAATATAAAGGGCTATTGACAGGTGTCAGTGGTCACATTTAAGGTGAGATATCGTTATTTTTTAAATTCAAAACAAAATTAAAGTATATATATCATATTAATATATAATAAACGACATTAATTTAAAGTAATAAATTTATTTATAACCAAATTAAATACAATTAATAATTATTTAAAATCAATTTTAATTTTTATATGTTGACAACTTCACAGTGTTAAATTTTTTAATATTTTATTTTAATTTAAATTTAAAACACAGTTAAAGTGCATATATATAAATCAAAATCAATTCAAAATAAATTCATTAATAAATAATTCTTAATTATTTAATAATTATTTAAAATTAATTTTAATTTTTGAATGTCAGTTGACTTCATAGTGTTAAATTTTTTAATATTTTATTTTAATTTAAATTTAAAACACAGTTAAAGTAAATATATAATAAATAAAATTTATTTAAAGTAAAGAATTAACTTATTGCCAACTTAAATTCATTTAATAATTATTTAAAGATAATTTTAATATTTGAACCTCAGTCGACAACTTCATAGTGTTAAATTTAATAATACTTTTTGATTATTTTTTTTAATTTAAAACAGAATTAAAGTAAATATATAATAAGCTAAATCAATTTAAAATAATGAATTAATTTATTGCCAAATTGAATACATTTAATAATTATTTAAAATTAATTTTAATTTTTGAATGTCACTTAACTTCATAGTTTTTTACATTTCTTAATTATTGTTTTCTAATTTAAAACACAATTAATGTAAATATATAATAAACGACATTAATTTAGATTAATAACTTAACTTATTATTAAATTAAATACATTTAATAATTATTTTTTAATTATTATATTTTAATTTTGATAAATAATCACCCAAAAACTATATAACAAACAAAATTAATTTAAAATAATAAATTCATTTATTACAAAATTAAATGCATTCAATAATCAATTAAATCAATTTCAATTTTTGATCTAGTTAACAACTACATAGTGTTAATTTTTTTTATAATTTCCAATTATTTTCTTCTAAATTTTGAACACAATTATTATAAACACATAAAAAATAAATAATCATTTAATAAATTACTAAATTAAATGCATTTAAAATCAGTTTCAACTTTTTAAAGTTAGTTGACAACTTCATTATGTTACATTTTTTAATACTTTTTGATTATTATTTTTGTAATTTAATACACAATTAGTGTAAATATATAATAAACAAAAATAATTACTAATTATTTAAAAACAAATTCAAGTTTTGAATGTTTAGTTGACAACTACCATAGTGTTACATTTTTTATAATTTTTTCATTATTTATTTGTTAATTTAAAACACAATTGATGTAAATATATATTAAGCAAAATTAATTTAAAATAATAAATTAACTTATTGCCAAATTAATTACATTTAATAACTATTTAAAATAAATTTCAATTTTTAAATGTTAGCTGACAACTCTATAGTACTAATAGCATGCGAGACAAATAGTAACACATAGATATGAATATTGTAGAAAGTGTAATTAGAGACAATATTCGAATAATTAGAAATGAGGTATATTAATAGAGACGAACGGAGTTAACGATAGTATTAATTTTTTTAATATTTCTTTTTACAAAATATAAATTTAAAACACAATACTAAAATATTTAACTTATTTATATAAATATTAATTTATTTTTCAGATACTTCGGCCAACCACTAGTAGCATTATTATCACCTCAAGACATTCCTCCTGCATTTCAAGGTAAATTAAAATAACTATATATATATATATATATATATATATATATATATATATATATATATATATTTATTTATTTATATTTCTTTACCCAGATTTACAACGTGACGGATCCCTCTTCACCCTGTTTCTCCATTCGCCGCTGCTCGCACTGTGTCGCTGCTGTCACATAGTAGACTTGAGTGCTCACACATGGGACAGATGTCGCTCTCAGTACGACAGGTTTGCGTCTGAGGTGACGAGACTGATGCTGTCGCACACTGCTTCTTCTAGCGGCGCTGGTGTCGCTTCTGATATGCAGCAGGACGGAACGGGAGCAGGAATCGGAGAGGCGGAGAAAGGTTAGTTATATTCTTAATTTATTTATGAAATTCACTGTGAACAAGGAAAATCACTCTACTGGGAAACTGGGTTGTAAAATAAATGTTATACGTTTCCATCAAAGAACAAATAGAAATGTGAAGGTAAACTGTAAATACTACAGAATGTCATAGTGAACTGTTTGGGTGACAACAGGAACTACAGGCATTTTCAAACAGAGACACATGTTCAAATGGGAAAGTACAATGGAAGTAAAAAAACTGCAGAAAACTGAGTTGCACATAAAAGTGAAAAAATTCATGTTAAGTGATAAGGAAGCATGGCTACTTTGGCTTGGCTAGGCTACAGAAAATGCAACAAACTGAAAACAGAAGCACATGACAAGGAAACATTAAAGCAGAAGTATGAGAGTGAATTGGAAACCGGAGTGGGATTAAATCATACCATAGAATTTAAATACGAGCACACTTATAAAAATAATAACTAATTACTAAATAAAATATTCTATTTGTTTTAAATCAGTTTTATTCAAAATCTATAAATTACACTTAGTGCAACTTCTTATACTTTGCGCTCTCATTTTCCTTTGGATAAAATATCTTCTTGAGTCCCAAAACGACTAAAAATGCTCCTCCCAGGAACAATCCGAGCCACACAAGCACGAGGTCCCACATGAAAAGTGTGGGAGCCCCCATAACGGCAGCCCTGGACCTCAGATGAGGGGCTCCTTTGTGCCTTAGCACGTATTCGCACCACCACGTCGCCTCTTCTAGCGGATGCCTCGGGCGATCTCGGAAACGAGACGAACGCAGCGACATCTTTTCACGATAGCTGGAAACGAAAGACGTTTCGGTAACTAATTGCTCTCATCGCCAGAACAGATATATTTACTACACAGTGTTACCAACCTCGTACTCGTTAGCATCCGTCTCAACTTTTCGACGATTTCTTCTTCCGTCACCGTTGGAATTAGTATTTGTTCGGCTACTCCAGCGTCTACAGCTTTTTTTGCATTCTACATTTGAAATGCATCTTTATTAATTGATGATAATAACAATAATAATAATAAATGTAAACATATTGAAAAATGATGACTTTCACATCAATCAGTGCAATTTATGTTCCAGTGAAGTATCATAAAAAATCTTAAAGTATTGCCATATGTGAAAATAGCATCACATTTGTATTTTTTCCATAATTTTCAAAGCATTCGATTAATATGAATAGAGTTTTTTATAAGTCTGTACTAAAATAAAACTCTAAAGCAGCTTGATATACTTTTAAATTGCTTTTGATAATATACAAGTACCAAGTCACTCAATTAGTATTGAAGATGCGCCACCTTCCACTATCATTACTTACCGTGAACTGGTCAGCAAAGAAAGGAATAATCAACGTCGGAACACCATGCCAAGTTGTCTCTTGAGAACTCAACAATCCACCATGAGACATAAACAACTTGGTTTTTGGATGTCCTGAAAACAACATCAATCTTATCATCTCATCTTATCACCATTCATCCATTTATCTTACCCAAGACGTCATTTTGAGAAGCCCATGGTGTCAGCATAACATTTTTGGAAACTTTCAATTCGGTTCTTTCTGTTTTCCACAAGAAATGGTGGTCGGGAAACTTTGCCAAAGCTCGAACGAACATTTGAAGTTTTTCTTCGCTCATCATGTTGTATTTGACGTTGGTTCCTAAACTGAAGTAGACTACGCCTTCTTTTGCGGAGTTGAAGAAGTCGTTGATGTGCTGGGAAAGGAAAAGACTCTACTGGGTAAAGAAATTTCTTTTGTAGTAAAAAAGACAATGAGACTATGCTGGAGAAAATTTAGAAAAACTGATAATGGAAGCAGTAGTTCTAAAGTGATGGCGACGAAAAGGAACCGCCATCATTGTGATGGTAAATAAACAAAACTGGCAGTTTCTACTGCCTGAAGGAAACTGAGTTGGCTGTTGGCAAGATTACCACGGAAGTTGAAAAATTACAGGATGCAAAAGGCCTGAAAAGTAGATGTAGAAGAATGGAACCAGTGTCTAGTGCAAAAACTTAATTCAAAAGTTTATTATCTTACTTCTGGCAATGGTTTAGGATCTTTGACCTGCAACCCGCCGACCTGTATCGTATTAGGCAACAGCAGTTCAGGCAAATCCATTCCAGGATGACTATTAACCAGCGCCAACTCCAGCCTCTTCTCCAAATCTCCCAAGTAAGGCAAATTATTCCCAAAATAGACCCTAGCCATTTGGTCTACATTGTCAACTGCCAAACGTCTATAATACGAATCCAGAGCGTAATAATAAACATTCAGAGACCTCTGCCAAAAGTTCATATCACCAGGAAAGAAACTGCTGTAGAATGGTAACAAGCTAGGGACCACGGGGTTACCTGTCAGTTCGTAGGTATTCGGTGGCGTCATGAATGCCGAGATGCCGACTATTGGTGGATTGTTGAATTTATGGACAAAGCCGAATGTGTCAGGCAAGCCTGTGTAGTCAACGATGACCAAGTCGAACTTGAAGTCATCAGGGTACGCTAGAAGTTTCTTAAATCCTGAAGTCTTCATCACAGCATCTGATAATACTGTTATGTATTGGTAGAATATTTTTATTCCATCAGGTATGCTCATTTCGGGGAATTCTTCAGGGTTGCCTGAGGCGTTGAAGATTTTCTGGACGGCATCGTAAACGCCTTCAGCGTGGAGGTAGTGCAGGTTAGGGGTTGGTTCTGGGTCGATGTCGACGCTTAAAGCTGTTATGTTGTAGCCTTTCTTGGCCAGGGTGACCATTATAGAACGATTCCTGGAAAAGAAAATAAAATAACTATGGGACATGTTTGATTATACTTGTAGGACGTTTTGGTCAATTCTTGGATAAGCGAGCTTTTCACATTAAAGCAAACAAAAGTTTACTGGCGTGCAATCTGGCCAATTGAAATTTACCAAGTCGGCGAATTAAGGCTTTGATCAGAAGCATAAATTCTGGGAAAAAAGTCTCTACTGACGACCAATCTGAGATTGTATTCGAAACTGATAAATAAAACTCTAATGACGGGCAATCTTATTTAGTAAAGTAATGCCAATGAATTAAATCTTTGCATAGGTCAGAATTATGGTCAAATTTTTTTTGTCAGTCGAGTTTTATTATCTGGAGAACCAGTTTGCTAGTCAGTACACTTCTCTTTTTTGTAAGAATATATTTTAACTATTTCATTTGGCAAGACTATCTTAAGTTCCGTTTTCGGATAAGATTGCTCTCTTATTAACGCAATTTTTTTATTATTATGTTTGTTTATTTTATTTATATTATTACACTCATGTTTTGTTAAGTGAATACCAAGAAGTTGCCATGGTAACAAAAATTTATAATTTATCAGTATTACCAGATGTGATGACTCTTCGATGCCATTGGCATCAGGCACAAAATATTTCCTTTTACATCATTTTTACTTTCAGTATTTTCCACAACATTAAAAAATGTTAAAAGAAATAATAAAAATAAATTAAAAATTACCATTTTTGAAAAAATATTAAAATAAAAATAAACAAAAAATAATAATGGAACCAATCAATCAATACATTATGTAAAAAATGAATAGCTAGTTTTTTATCTGCAAGCGTTTTGTATTCCCTTGTTGTCTTTATCAGTTATCGATAGTGCGATTAGATTTTTATTTAAAATGGAACAGTGTTGGTAAATGACCGGTTATTTAAAATAAAAAATTATATATATTAAAGAAATTTCAACTTATTTTTTTGATACAAAAAAAAAATCTTATCCCAATAGCATTTGTTTTATCAATACAAGCAAAAAGTTTTTTGAATTGTTTAATTAAAATGCTTAGTTCTCTCAAAAATTGCCTTTTTTTAATTCAGTTCCGTATCTCCGAAACGGCTAGACCTGTCTTTGCCAAAAACTAATCATCACTTCTCCCCATCTTGAATGTTTTTTTGGATCATTCAAATCAGATGCTTAATTCTCTCAAAAACTGCTATTTTTTGCACATTTAGCTGCATATCTCCAAAACGGCTGGACCTGCCTCCACCAAAAACAATTGACCACTTCTCCCTACCATTACAATTTGAATGTTTTTTGGATCATTCAAATCGGATGCTCCGTTCTCTCAAAAACACGATTTCTATTTTCTGCACTCTTGTTCCGTATCTCCAAAACTGCTGGACCTGCCATTGCCAAAAACTGATCAGCGCATCTCCCTATCAATAAGAATCGAATGTTTTTTCAACCATTCAAATCGGTTGATTCTTGCACCTGAAATCGTGGACAAAAAATTGTATCCCTTACTTTTAGATGTAAAAAAATGACTAGACCGATTGTGGTGAAAAACAAATGTACGGGTTACATCGAATGGCTTTTTATTTTTCCAATTAGGTTAGGAAAAAACATCGACAAAAAGTAAGTATATATACACAAACATATTTTTCACAATTTTGGTGTGAGATGATTCAGAATGACTATAAACGTCGTGAAAATATAAAATAAGTAAGTCGGATTTTCTGGCAAAATCATAAACTTCTACTTCAAATTCTAAATGAATCTTATTAATTAACAAGAGAGCAAATTTATAAAATAAACCGTAAATATTTTAAAAATAATAATTTCCTTGCACACTAATTTATGACCAGCCCTCATACTATTGAAGAAAACAGTATTATCTTATAAGTGATAAGATAAACAAAGCTATTGAAATTAATCTTATTAGAAAAATTGTGTAATCATCTAATTATGTGGCACAAATTTTTTAATTTAATTTATTTACTACATCTCATTAAAACAGTGGTGGCCAATAACATAACTAAAAATTTATATTATAATTTATTTTTTTCAGAAGCTTATCTGCACTTCTTCGGAGATGAATATCTAAGGACTCTGATTTTAAGATTTGTTTTCTGCGACAACGTCTTGAGGCTCCATCGAGGATTCAGGAGTCGAAGATTTCGGCCAAAGTGAGTAAAAATTAAATGTAATTTAATGTAGTAAACATATCTCAAAAGGGGGCAGTGCAACAGCAAATAGAGTCGGTGCATAACTTGGATAAGTTGATGTCTTGGATGAGTCATTACTATCAATAAGGATTGTCTCTGCGACCATCTATTCTTCCTGACCATAACTACAAAATTTTAGTTACCTTTATCATTTATTTTTTTACCAGGTGTAGTCCCCCTCTGCCAATCCCAGATCTGCTGGAGCACCCAGCGCTGGGTCAAATAGTATTGCAGCTAGCCCAACAATTGGATGCTAGGAGTCATTTCTCGGAAGACGATTCCGGGGCGGCTACTGGAGCCTCTTTATCGACACCACCTACTGGCGTCCAAACTGGCGCCACTGGTGGAGTCTCATCTTGGGAAAGAGACACTGGTAGGAGGCAACATGTTGCCAGAAGTGAAATGATGCAACAGGAATGATGATACGCTTTGGAGGACATGGGACGTGAGTTGTGAGAAGGTAAACGTGAAGGTTGATAAGTGATAAGTGAATATAATTTCTTGTTTGATTATATGATTAGATACAAATTTTACCTTTTAGCAAGGGTTTGAACCAACATCCAAGCTTTGAACCAATATCTATCTTATTTTCAAACCATTATACTTAAAAATGAAGAGTACTAAATAAAACCAAACTAAATTGATATGACCTAAATGCAAACAAGATTGGACACTTTATTGATGATCTATTTTTAAATAGTGAACTGGAAGATTAATTAAAAAATACGTGTAATTTCATTCAAAATAAAAATATGTTGTATAGTAGTTTTGAAGATATGCAACTTTGCTAAAATATTTATATTTTGATGGCTTGCACAAACTTTTTATTTGTTATTAAATAAAACAACAACAAATTGTTATTAAGTAATACAAATATTACAATAATCTAACCATCTTACTTTTCAAGTTAATCTCTATAACTATTGTTAGGGTTGTAACTTTGCTAAAAACCTTGTATTTGGTTCAGATCTTTGCTAAATAAAAGGTGCAATGAATAAACTGAGCTTAATTATTACTATTGTCATCATCTATTAATATTGTTTTTTGATATTTTTGGTAAAAACTTTTTGCAAACTTTCTCACAACTCTAAAATTAGACAACGTCTCTATAAATAAAGAAATGCATGATAATATAATAAGTTAGTTAGGTTTTTAAAATATCGTAATACACATCTGCTATATATATATGCGTTAATATATATATATATATATATATATATATATATATATATATATATATATATATATATACATATATTATTACCATTCTCTATATCGACAAAGTACTCGTCCTTTCCTCAGCATCAATCACTTGCGCCTTTCTTCCACTATCTTAAATTATAATTAAATATAAATATAAATATAATTCGTTATCTTCCACGAAACAAAAATTGTGTTCTGACACCCAAGTAGTAGTAGTAATCACATGGGACGAGGTTCGAATCTTTGCTCGAAAGACATAAGCCAACTAGACTGCGTAATATAATAATTTAAGGAAGATTATGGTTTATAAAATTTAAATAATATTGGTATAAATGTACGTTGATAACTGTTAATTGGTTTATTTGGCTCTTTTGTTGTTTTAAAATGTGTTCGTGCTACTGTTGGTACTCACTGTAGAAACAACGTAGTGAAGTAAGTCGCAAAACGAATTCAAGATGGCAACGAATATGAAGTTGTTTTTTACTTTTTTGAACAATTTTTTTTTGAGCTTAAAAATTAAATTAAATTAATTTAAATTCTTTAAGAATATGCAAATTTATGAATTTTCTATTTTAAATCCAGCTTTTATAATATTTTAAAACAAATTTTAATATATATTTTTCAGATACAATTTCTTTGTATGTTGATGTATTTTATGTATTTTATAAATTTAAAGTATTGTTTGACTTTCCTTCTAGATGATTAATTCAATTATTTGTTATTTATTATAAAAAAATTATTTCCATTGTTACGACAGATGCGCAGTCTAGTGGCGTATGTTAGAACTGTATGAAACAAAATAGTGTAAAATATTATTTTATAAGATAAAACGATTTATTTAATATAAATTGAAATAGAAATGCAATAATGGATTGTTAATTATTAATTTGTGTATACAACACTCTATATTTTGGAACTGTTATTTATTAAATGAAGTTACGAACGTTTCGTGGCCAAAATTTATGCTATCATCAGTGTAAAATTAGAAACAAATAAAAAGATTTAAACTTCATTGTGGTTTTTTTATATAGGTGATGGCACAAACCATAGTCTCGAAACGTTCGTAATTTTCAATGAAATATTACAAAATAGAGTGATGAATATACTAACAGACACACACACATACATATATATATATATATATATATATATATATATATATATATATATATGTATATATATATATTATACATCAATCTATTATAACAATTCTATTATTATTTTCGATGATATTGAAAAGATTCTTCGAACTTATAACCAAAAATTGTAAAATAAATATAAATATATACATATAATTAATATATAAACACTATATTATATATAAATAGAAATATTAAAATTATAATAAACACATTGCTATAAAAAAAATCATACACTGACAAAAATACAATACAGCTTTAATGATATAATTAGCTATAATTTTATTCAACTATTTATGGAATTATATATATATATATATATATATATATATATATATATATAATTTATCTAGGTACATATATAAATACAAATATATAACTATATTAAATCAAATATAAATCGCTTTTCCAAATAAAATAAAAAAATTAGAGTTTAATTGTGAGGATGAAAACTTTTTTTCAGGCTCAATTGAATCTAAATTTATAATAATGGATGTGTGTGTGTGTATATATATATATGTATGGATACAAATTTCCAGTCACGTTTTCAGGCGCACGGATCAACCGATTTCAATGGTTCAAAAAACATTCGATTCCCATTGTTAAGGAGATATGCTGATTAGTTTTTGGCAAAGGCAGGTCCAGCAGTTACGGAGATAAAGAGCAAAGAGTGCAGAAAATAGAAATCGAGTTTTTGAGAGAACGGAGCATCCGATTTGAATGATCTGAAAAACATTCAATTAGTAATGATTGGGAGAAGTTGTTATAAGTTTTTGGCAATGGCAGGCCCAACCATTTCAAGCTAAATGTACAAAAAATTCCAGTTTTTGAGAGAACTAATCGTCCGATTTAATTGATTCAAAGAACTTTCTGCTTGTCTTAACAAAATAATTGATTCTGGAAAAAAAATTTTTGTTTCAACTTTTTTTTTTATTTTTTGTATATCGAAAATAATTCAGATTTTATCTTTAACTCTGACTATAGTTCTAATTTACTTCAAACAAATAATTTCAACTTTGCAATTCAGTTTATATAATTCTTATAAATATTAGAAAATGTTACAATATTTATAATAATCTATTTGAAAACATTCAATATTCCTCGAACATTTCGTTACGGTACGGGAAGTTCCAGCAATTTGCCTTAAGGCACGATGCCACAAACCCCACTAGTTTTGTATTTAATTATATTGATCTTATATTTAATTATATTAAACTTTAATTCAAATTTCAAATATGGCGCCATTCTAATATCAAATTAATTGGAATTTGTAAAATGCAACAACACTTTGTTATGTCAATATTTTATTAAACTAACATATTCAACTTAATATTTATTTTTATTGGCATTTAGATAGAAGTTAATATAATATATTAGATTTACAATTTAATATTTTATACTTAAATATATTGAACTTATGTATATATTCAAATTTCAAATATGGCGCCATTCTAATTTCAAATTAACTTCAATTTGTAAAATGCAACAATACTTTGTTATGCCAATATGTTATTAAACAAATATATTCAACTTTAATATTAATTAATTTATTATTTTACTTAATTATATTGAACTTAAACATATATTTTAATTTCAAATACGGCGCCATTTCATACAAAAAATAAAATGGAATTTGTAAAGTGCAACAACACTTTTATTAGGTTAATTATTATAACATACAATTAACATACATTTTCAATTCAAATACTTTTTTTATTATTTATTTAAAAGTTAATATTATTTCAAAAGATTTATTTAAAAGTTTTTAAAATTTATCCAACATGGCGTCTTTGACAGTTCAATCAAGATGTCTAAACAATTCAGTGTCATATTTTGGGCAAAATAAACATTAAAATAACTCTAAATAGGTATTAAAGCATGTTGAATTTAGTTTAAATTAAGTGTTAATAAGTTAATTTATTATTTAAACATGTGTGAGGACATAAAGTTGTTTCCGAGTGTTTCAAAAATCAAAGAAGAACTTATTGAGTATACAATAGAAGAAATTGATATAAATAATGATATTGATAATATAAAAGATAAAATTGAGGAAGAATTATGTCCAGAGACTTCTTTGAATAGATTTTTAAAATCAGAAGTAACGATAGAAGAAGAAATTAAGCACGAGCCCCCTTATGAACTGGAATGTGGTAAGTCTTTAATTTCTTGCAGTAAAATAATGATATAAATAGACTTTACAAACGTCAAAATGAAGTAACTATTTTTATCACCAAATGTTAAGACTCCAAATCTCCTTCTGCGAGCGGTCCACAAATCTTTTTGTGCGATAGGACTCCAATCTCCTTCTGCCATAAGACTCCAAATTCCCTCTGCGATAAATCTTCATATTGGTAAAACTTATAACAAGTATTCTTCTTTAACAGGAACAAATCTATTCAATATAAAGTCTTTATAAATAAGGAAGTCTTTTGGAGCACCCACATTGAAGACTCTCCATATCGATGTAGTTTTAGTGTTTCGATTACCCTGAGACACTATTAAATTATATATGAACTATACTTCCAGAGACTTGACGATGATTTATATAATCTATTGCAGTAAGTGTTGTCGCTTTGCTCAACCAAAAAAGAGCCTCTGGATAAAATGGTGGTAAATTGATCCAAAAATTTGTCTTCCAATGCTTCTGTAAACCTCATTCATACTAAAATCTGAATTTTACTTTATTTATTATCAATTAACGCTCTGATAGTAAATGTCCTCTTACTTTTATTGCGTTTAAAGTAAATGAATCTAAAGAAGTTTTACTTCAAAAATTTTAAATGTGTCTTATTTGTGGGGTATTGTTTGAGAGGTCTTGAGGAATAGACTACGATTTTATGAATGAAAACGTGATAAGTATACTTATTTACGAGATAGTATTCATTTGTAGTAAAAGAACTTAAAGAAGTTTTACTTCAAAAAATTTTGATTGTGTTTTTAAGGCATGTCGGGTATCATTTCAAAGGTCTTGAAGAGTACAATATGATTTCATAAATAAAAACGTGATAAGTATACTCATTTACATGATTAGTATTAATGTGTAGTAAAAGAACCTAAAGAAGTTTTACTTCAAAAAAT